TAAGCCAGTTTTCTCACTCTCTCCTTTCACCCTCACCAAGAGTCTCTTCAGTTCCTCTTCACTTTCTGCTGTTAGAGTGGTATCATCTGCATATCTGAGGTTGTTGATATTTCTCCCAGACATCTTGATTTCAGCTTGTATTTCATACAAACCAGCATTTCACATGTTGTACTCTGCATATAAGTTAAATAAGCAGGGTGATAATATATAGCCTTGACGTGTTCCTTTCCCGATTTTGAACCAGTCTGTAGTTCCATGTCCAGTTCTAACTGTTGATTCTTGACCTGCATACAGATTTCTCAGGAGACAGGTAAGGTGATCTGGTATTCCTGTCTCTTTAAGAATTTTCCACAGTTTGTTGTGATCCATGCAGTCAAAGGCTTTCACTTAGTCAATGAAGCAGAAGTAGATGTTTTTCTGGAATTCCCTCGCTTTTTCTTTGATCCAGTGGACGTTGGCAATTTGATTTCTGGTTCCTTTTCCTTTTCTAAATCCAACTTGTACATCTGAAAGTTCTTTGTTCATGTACTGCTGAAGCCTAGCTTGAAGGATTTTGAATATTACCCTGATAGCATGTGATACCCTAATGATTAGCGATGATATCTTTGTATGCTTATTGTCCATATGTATCTCTTATTTGGAAAAATTGTCTATTCAGGTCCTTTTTTTTAATTGGAGTATAGTTGGTTTACAGTGTTGTATTGGTTTCAAGTATACAGCATAGTGGTTCAGTTATGCATACTCATATAATTTTTTCTTTTTCAGATTCTTCCCTCATATAGGTTATGATAGAATATTGAGTAGAGTTTCCTGTGCTGCACAGTAGGTTGTTGTTGGTTATCTATTTTATATATAGTTGTGTATGTATGTTAATCCCAGGATCGTAATTTATCCCTCCCCCTACATGATTCCCCTTTGGTAACCATTGGTTTGTTTTTGAAATCTGTGAGATCTGTGAGTTCATTTTAGTTGCCCAGTTGTGTCCAACTCTTTGCCAGCCCCATAGGCTGTAGCCCAATGCCAGGGTTCTGCAGCCCAGCAACACTGGAGTGGGTTGCCATTTCCTTATCCAGGGGATCTTCCCAACCCAGGGATTGAACCTGGGGTTCCTGCATTGCAGGCAGTTTCTTTACTTTCTGAGCCACCTGGGAAGCCCCTGAGTGATTTCATATGATATTTGTCTTTGTCTGACTTCACTTAATATGATAATCTTTAGGTCCATGCCATGTTGTTGCAAGTGGCATCATTTTTTCTTTTTATGGTTGAGTAATATCCCATTGTATATATGTACCACGTCTTTATCCATTCCTCTGTCAATGGTTGCTTCCATGTCTTGACTTTTGTAAATAGTGCTGCAATGAACATTGCTGTGCATGTATCTTTTCGAATTGTGTTTTTCTCTGGATATATATATGTGTGTGTGTGTGTGTGTGTCTGTGTGTGTGTGTCTGTCTGTGTGTGTGTGTGTGTCTGTGTGTATGGAGTAGGATTGCTGAATCATATGGTACACCTGTATTTAATTTTTTCATGAACCTCCATACTGGCCTCCATACTGGTTGTTCCAATTTATCAGTACATTTCATCAACACTGTAGGAGGGTACCCTTTCTTCCCACTCTCTCTATCATTAGTTGTTTGTAGACTTTTTAATGATGGCCATTCTGACCAGTGTGAGGAGATACTTCGTTGTAGTTTTGATTGGCGTTTCTCTGATAATTAGTGATGTTGAGCATTTTTTCACGTACTTTTTGGCTATGTGTATGTCTTCTTTGAAAAAATGTCTATTTAGATCTTCTGTTCATTTTTTAATTGGGTTGTTTGTTTTTGTGACATAGAACTTCATGAGCTCTTTGTATATTTTGGAGATTAATCCCTTGTCAGTCACAAATATTTCTTCCCATTTTGTATATTGCCTTTTCATTTTGTTTATGGTTTCCTTTGCTGTACAAAGGCTTTAATTAGTACAAAGTTTAATTAGTCCCATATTTTAAATTTTTGTTTTCATCGTCATCACTCTAGGAGGTAAATAAAAAAAATACTGCTTTGATATTCTGGTTCCTGCCCAGTGGTGTGGAGAGCTGGGTCTTGTATCTCTGATTTACAGGGCTGTTCTCAGGAAGACTTTAAGCTACTTCTCTGCTGATGGGTGGGCCTGTGTTCTTGCCCTGTTGGTTGTTTGGCCTGAGGCATTCTAGCACTGTAGCCTACAGGCTGTTTGGTGAAGCTAATGTCCAGGAGGGCTCATGCCAATGAGTTCTACCCAGAACTGCTGCTGCCAGTGTCTTTGTCCCCAGAGTGAGCCACAGCCACCCCTGCCTCCGCAGGAGATCCTCTAATATTAGCAGGTAGGTCTGGCCCGGTCACTTATATGGTCACTACCTTTTTTCTCCTGTGTCCTGGTACACACAAGAACACTTGTGCACCCTCCAAGAGTGGAGTTTGTTTCCACCTGTCCTGTGGAATTCCTTGATCAAATCCCAGTGGCCCTCGGAGTTAGATCTTCTGGGGGATTCTCCCAGTGCCAGACCATCAGATGATGTTGGGCTCAGAAATTTCACTCCTGTGAAAGAACTTCTGTACTATAATTGTTTAGCAATTTGTGGGTTGCCCACCCAGCAGGAATGGGATTTGACTTTATTGTGATTGCACCCCTCCTACCATCTCCTTGACTTCTTTATCTTCGGACGTAGGATATCTTTTTTTTTTTTTTTGATAGGTTGTAATGTTTGTTTGTTTATTTGTTTGTTGTTGTTGTTGCTGGTTGTTTAGCAATTAGTTGTGATTTTGGTGTTCTCATAAAAAGGTGTGAGCTCATCTCCTTCTATTCCACCGTCTTGAGCTAATCTCATGTCAGAGTGTTCTACCTATGTTTTTCTCTAATTTTATAGTGTCTGGCCTTAAACTTAGGTCTTTGATCCACTTTGAGTTTAATTTTTGTGTGTGGTGTTAGATAATGTTCTCATTCCATTCTTTTAAATGTAGCTGTCCAATTTTCACAGCACCACTCTTTGAAGAGGCTGTCTTTTCTCCATTGTATATTCTTGCTTCCTTTGTCAAAGATATGTTGACCATAGGTGTGTGGATTTATCTCTGGGCTTTCTATCCTGTCCCACTGATCAATATTTCTGTTTTTGTGCCAGTATGATCCATACTGTCTTGATTACTGTAGCTTCATAGTATAGTCTGAAGTCAGGGAGCCTGATTCCTCCAGCTCTGTTTATTTCAGGATTGCTTTGGCTATTTGGGATCTTTAATGTTTACATACAAATTTTAAAAATTTGTTGTAGTTCTCTGAAAAATGACATTGGTAATTTGATAGGGATTGTTTTTAATCTGTATATTGCCTTGGCTAGTATAGTCATTTTCACAGTTTTGATTCCTCCAGTCCAAGAACATGACATATCTATCCATCTGTCTGTGTCATCTTCAATTTCTTTCATCGTTGTCTTATAGTTTTCAGAGTACAGATTCTTTTCTGTAAGTAGATTTGCCCCAGTATTTCATTATTTTTGATGTGATATTAAATGTAATTGTTTCCTTAATTTCTCTTTCTGATCTTTCTTTGTTGGTGTATATGAATGGAAGAGATTCTGTGTATTAATTTTGTATCCTACAACTTTACCAGATTCATGTTTGCCTTTACCACTGAGCCTTCACATTTGAAATTTTATTGTCTTAGTTGTGGACTTTTCATTTCTTCCTAGAGAAGTTCCTTTAGCATCTGTTGTAAGGTATTTTTGGTGATGCTGAATTCTCTTAGCTTTGATTGCCTGCAAAGGTTTTGATTTCTCTGTCAAATCTGAATAATAGCCTTGCCAGGTAGAATATTCTTGGTTGGAAGTTTTTCCCTTTCATCACTTTATATATATCATACCACAAGCTTCTGGCCTGCAGTTTCTACTGAAAAATCAGCTGTATATATTTATGTTGTCTGTTGCTTTTCCCTTGTTGCTTTCAATATTTTTGTTTGTTTGTTTTTAATTTCTGTCAGTTTGATTAATATGTGTCTCAGCATGTTCTTCCTTGTGTTTATCCTGTATGGTACTCTATACTTCCTGGACTTGAGTGAGTGTTTCTTTTCTCATGGTAGAGAAGTTTTTGGCTATTATCTATTCAAATATTTTCTAAGACTCTTTCTCTTTCTTCTCCTTCTAGGACTCCTATAATGAAAATATTGGTGCTTTTAACATTGTCCCAAAGGTCTCTGAGACTGTTCTCATTTGTTTTCATTCTTTTTTCTTTAATCTGTTTCATGGCAGTGATTTCCCCCACTCTGTTTTCTAGCTCATTCATTAGTTCTTCTGCCTCATTTATTCTGCCACTGATTTCTTCTAGTGTATTTTTTTCATCCCAGTAATTGTATTATTTATTTCTGTTTGTTCTTTAAATCTTATAGCTCTTTCTTAAATATTTCTTGTATCTTCTCAGTCTACCTCCATTCCTTTTCCAAGATTTTGAAACACTTTTACTATCATTACTCTGAATTCTTTTAGGTAGATCGTCTACCTCCACCTGACTTAGATGTTTTTCTGCAGTTTTATCTTGTTCCTTCATCTGGAACATACTTATCTGCCATCTCATTTTGCCTGATTTTCTTTGTTTGTGGTTTCCATTCTGTATGCTTGCAGGACTATAGCCCTTCTTTCTTCTAGTGTCTGCTCTTTGGTGGATGAGGTTGATCCTGGGGTTTGTGCCTGCCCACTAGTGGCTGGAGCTGGGTCTTATTCTTTGGGGTAGGCAGGGTATGTCAAGGGGTGTGTGTTAGAGGTGGCTATGAGCTCAGTACAACTTTAGGCAGCTTGTCTTCAGCAGAGATCTTTCTGCTAAGAACTTTACTTTTAAATTATGAGCATGTCCTGTGTTTTTAATGTTATCATAGTTACCTTACTTTTGAGATCTGCCTACCTAGCAAGCTGATATTTTCTTGACATGAACAAAACATAAATAATCTATTTCTTTAGGTAAACTAACCCACTTTTTTTTTCTTTTTGTTTATTCAAGGTTCTGGTGTGGGATGTATAACCGCTTTGACAAAGGGTTGCAGCCCAAGCAGAGTATGCTAGAGAGCCTCCTGGAAATTAAGAAGCAGAGATCAATGCTGGAGGCAGATGTGCACAAACTAGAAAAGGTGAAAAGTTGAATCTCAAAAAGAGAATCTCTTACACCTTCTGAGTAGTCCTAACTCACTTGGAATTGATTTGGTACTTGTGAGAAGCAACCTGCCTGGCTTGTTATCCTCTCTGCTTTCCAAGCATCCTGTGTCTATAAAGCTCTGATGCACAGCTCTTCTTCTTCTTTTTTTTTTTTTTAACCTCCCATATTAAGTGGTAAATATCACAGTCAGCTAGTTAAGCCAGTTTGTTCCCTTTTTGGATCTGGATGGAATTAGGAAGAGGAACAAGAGAGAATTTCATGGAAATAATGGAGGTATTTGTTATCCATAAAGAAAATAAGTATAACTTCTTGGGTGTACTAAGGAGAACAATGACATTGCTATTTCCAACAAGGAAAACCTCTTAAAAAATCTGATTTCCTTCCCATGCAGATGATAAACTCTGTTCATTGAATGGTTCTTTTGCTTTAGAATATAATTATGTGTTGATTTCCTTTATGATACCAGCAAAACCAAAGTCACACACTTGTTTTTAATTAGAGTTGAATAAGTCTACAGGGATTTCTTTTCAAAAAAAAAAATGGAAAATGCTGAGCTACTTTTGGAATCCAGAGGTCCCTAGGGTATGTTTGAAGTAAAGGGGAGGGATACTTCTTAGAAAAGAATTCTTAGAAGGGGTGTGCTGCTTAGGAACTGGGCGTGAACCTCCTTTCCACCAGATAAGGCATAGCATTTCTGCTGCTCCCTGTAAGTAAACAAATATCCTTTTATTTTTAAAATAAATGTATTGTGGTTGCATCAGATCATAAACTTTTGAATGTCCTCTTGAAAAGCAACAGTCAGTTACTTAGTTCCATTAAAAAAAAAAGATGAAGAAAAGGGAGTGGAAGGAAGAAAACTGAAGTATGACTTAAAATCAGGAAACAAAGGAAACAAGCAGCCCCAGGAAAGAAGCCATAGGCAGAACTGAGAAGTAAGGAACCTTTCTCCTGCCGCCTCTTTTACCTATTAGCAACCTCCTCCACAGGGTCTCCAGAGCAGGTCCTCTATTATAAACCTAGCCCTTTTACTTATTCCTGTCTAATTCCTAAGAGAATCAGATTCATTCTGTTAACAGACAGAATCATATCACTCTCTGATTCTAAAGTTAAAAAGTAAGTAAGGCTTCCTTTTAAAATAACCAATACAATATTTTAAAGCAATTATCCTCCAATTTAAAAAGAAGAAAAAGCAAAAAAGACAATAACTATTATTAACATCCCTTTTTTAATACAGAGAAAAAAAAGCAGCCCATATTATATACAGATACCCTGTTGATGTTTTTTAAAAGGCAGTACAAGTATAAAGTTATAATATGCACAATACAAAAATATACAAAATGAAATGTTGAAAAAACTCTCCCAGCCACCTATATAGTCAGTTTCTTTCTCCAAGTGTTATCACTGTATGCGTGTGTGTGTGTGTGTGTGTGTGTGTGTGATTTTGTGACTTCCAGGAAAATAAGAATGGTATGCTTATCCCTAAGGCAGGAGCTCTTAACTGGAGTCCATAAACCCATAGATGTCCACAGATGACCTTTAAGGGATCTGTGAAACCCCTGAAATTATCCCTAAAAACTCTTTGTATGCCATCTCATTCACTCACTTGTGCCTGCATGTGATTTTCTGAGAAGAAGTTTCATCCTTTTCTCCAGATTTTCAAAGGTGTCTGTGACCTCCTGAGAAAGCTAAGAATCACTGTTGTAAAATATCAGTGAAACATTGTGTTATCCCTGAAGATGAAAATATCCATTGGAGACAGCATGAAGTAGTAAACAGGTCATAGACTTTGGCATTAAGGAGAGGCGGGGTCAGATCCCAGCTCTGCCACTTCTTAAATGTGTGAATTTGGGTGAACTTACTTAAATTCTCTGAACCTCAGTTTCCTCATCTGTAAAATATAGCTAATACTTAACTAATAGGACTTTAGCATAAAATGAAATACTATAGTGGTTGGCACATGGAAGTAATCAATAAATGTTAGTGATCCTTTCCCTTGCCCTCCCTGTTCTCAGTAATAAAATTGCATTTATCAGAAAAAGGAACTTTTATAGATACAAGACCTTTGAGGATATTTAGTGGTAGGGCTTTTAAAGCACTGTGTTAAGTGATGAATAAAAGATGTTTGAAGATGAGGAGGGGGCAAAAAGTCATTGGCTACCATATAAGTGACAGCTGACAAGATCCCTATATGTCAGTGTGATATTTGCCTAGTTTTACTCCAGTTTCTAATTCTTTTCAACCATTCCTTGCTCCCATGACAGAACTGAAAGCCCATGATGAGCCACCAGAAGATGTCTGTACATGTTCTCAATTAGGGCATTTATTATCTCAGCACTGGGAGCTCCTTTGACAAATTATGTCTGCTTTATGGGTATCGATGGAGACCTGAATACCTTGATGGAGAATGGCACTCTTTCTAGAGAAGGGGGCCCTCTAGTTCAGATGGGTCAAGTAAAAAGTCAGTGTGCAGACCTCCACCATGACTATTATGGGATCATGGGCAACCTTAGGGCCATAAACATTTCTAGGGATGTGGGCTTCTCTGGAGACACAGGCATCTCTGGGGTCTTGGGCATCTCTGACAACATGGTCACCACTGAGGCTATGGGCTTCTATGAAGACACCAGCATCTCTGAGACCATGAGCTTCTCTGGGAACATGGGCATCTCTAAAGACATAGGGCTCTCTAAGGCCAGCAACAAGACAGGCTTCTCTAAGCAACAGTGAGCTATTCATCTGTTTCCATGTTAGTTACACCTACAACACCCACAATGATGCTTGTCTCAAAAAAGGCTGTGCTGCTTTTCTAACTGGATTAAATGGCTGAGGCTTAAGATTCTAGAAGGGGATTTAGGGCCTTAACTAGTTAAGCAATCAGTATATGCACGTCAGGAATTCCCTGGTGGCTCAGTGGTAATGAACCCACCTGCCAATGCAGGAGATGTGGGTTCAATCCCTGGATTGGGAAGATCCTCTGGAGAAGGAAATGGCAACCCACTCCAGTATTCTTGCCTGAGAAATCCCATGGACAAAGGAACCTGATGGGCTCCAGAACATAGGGTCGCAAGAGTCAGACATGACTTAGCAACTAAACAAGAACAAACAACATATGCATGTCAAGCAGCCTAGAATATAGGCAAGACAAAGAATATGTTATAGTTCTAGAATGGGATTTAGCTTTAAAAATATAAAATCTTGCTTTTCAGCTGAGATATTAGATTGGTTCCATTATTCCATTTCCCTTAAAGGTCAGTCTCCCTTACTTTTCCACCCTTACTATTCTAGCAGGAGAACAAGTAGAAATACTGTCACAGTGAAGAATTAAGATCCTGTTGAAGGGATGGTGTGCAAAGGTAACTGAATTGCAGAACGACTTGAAAGAAAATTTTACTTAAAGGTATATATAGTCATACAATGTAAGCTCACATTATTGCCAGTAGAGACCCCCAACATTTGCCTGAGAAATAAATCAAAATGGTACATTGGTACTTGGTAGTTTAGAACATATAAGGAAAATTTTCCCAATTCGCTCCCTAGCTAGGTCTTATAGCCAACTCCCTTTTTATAGATAGCCCATCAATAAACTTGAATCCACTACATTCTAAAATGATCAATTCAAAAGCAGTGGGGTCTGAATTAATAATTTTGATCAATAGCATTTTCAACATCAGTTCAGGAGACAACTGAAAATCTTAGTGCTTTAGACCCTGGCTTCTACATGGCATATGTGCCCACCTAAGTTTTCCTAAAACAGGACTCTTCTTAGGTCTTTTTTTTCTTGCCATACCACATGGCCTGTGGGATCTTAGTTCTCTGTGCATGGATCAAACCCATTCCCTCTGCAGTGGAATCATGGAATCTTAATCATTGTACTGACAGGGAAGTCCCTCTTCTTAGGCATTTTTATGAAAATCAGTGGTTTTACTTCCCTAGACATCACATCAGTTTGTGGATTTTTAGACATAATTGGCACTACTTTTAAAAGCTGGTAGGCTTAACACCTTGTACTAATATAGACTTTTGAAAAAAGCCTGTTCTTAAGGCATGTCCAGCTACTCCAGGGGAAGGGGAAACTAAACTTTCCCTGATTTGGGGTTGATACACTTGCTGTACACTTTCCTATTGGATATACAGTCATAGTTTACCCATTTCCACATGTTGGGGTAGGATAAGCCTTGCATAGTTTGGGTCATGCAATATATTGTCAGCATTTTCAGAATTTCCTTTGGCAGTAGAATCCATATCTTCACCCAGGATGTCTATTTTGTATACCATGTGTCTGGTTTAAGCTAAAAAAAAAAAAAACCTGAGATTCTTAGTGAAAGAGCCATCTCTGTTACTATCACATCCATTTGTAAATACAGACATCTCTAAAGGATCACCTCATTAGTTACTCTATAAGAAAGGTAGGCCTTTTAATCGAAGTGTTAGAAGTAGCAGAGAAGAGGCAGCATAGTTCCTTGATTTCTTACCCCTAGCTAAAATTTGGACCAGAAAATAGTCCTATTTAGAAGAAGAACTCTAAGTCATTTTGGTTGTCTTTTTTATATGTAAATAGGAGCCATTTTTCTACTTACCTCTTCTTGGTAGCTTTTTTAATTCTGTGTTTTTAAAGAACTACTTCATATGTGTCTTTTCCACTTATAAATAGGGACCGCTTTTCTACTTACCTCTTCTTGATAGCTGCCTTCTTCCTATAATGTTAAAACATCAATGCGATTTGCTCTTGTATCTTCTCTGATCCCCCTCTTTCCACTCGTTAATCTTTGACTTATGTGCTTAGTTGCTCAGTCGTATCTGACTGTTTGTGACCCCATGGACTGCTGCCTGCCAGGCTTCTCTGTCCATGGGGATTCTCCAGGCAAGAATACTAGAGTGGGTTGCCATGCCCTCCTCCAGGGGACCTTCCCAACTCAGGGATCGAACCTAGGTCTCCTGCGTTGCAGGCAGATTCTTTACCGACTGAGCTACAGG